TGTGCAATAACATGTCCAGTAGTGACAATTTGAATTTGGTGTGAACGTCCTTTAATGTCCAGTCTATTTTTGTCACTAAATAAACCTGAGTAATATTTTCTGTAATTTTCTGTATGTTTAACAAGACTTGTTACTAATGGGAAATTTTGTCTATTTAGTCCAAGACAAACAAAGAAACTATTCATTAGGGTGTTATCTGGGAATCAACAAGGCCAGGTAAACTTGATATTTTGTCCAATGTTGTCAAGTGATATTTTGTCTGTATCATACCACAAAAAACAGGCATTAAACATTTTGTTAGACCCCTTAAATTATAGTAAAATATATTAAAGTTTTTAAACATCTCACTAGAGTGCCTTAATATCTATGTCAGATCCCCTAAGTAACCATACAATATAAGGTATTTAAACATCTCACTAGAGTGCCTTGATTTCTAAGTTAGTATGTCAGATCCCCTAGGTAACCATAAAATATAAGGTATTTAAACATCTCACTAGAGTGCCTTGATTTCTAAGTTAGTATGTCAGATCCCCTAAGTAACCATAAAATATAAGGTATTTAAACATCTCACTAGAGTGCCTTGATTTCTAAGTTAGTATGTCAGATCCCCTAGGTAACCATAAAATATAAGGTATTTAAACATCTCACTAGAGTGCCTTGATTTCTAAGTTAGTATGTCAGATCCCCTAAGTAACCATAAAATAGAAGGTATTTAAACATCTCACTAGAGTGCCTTGATTTCTAAGTTAGTATGTCAGATCCCCTAAGTAACCATAAAATATTTAAACATCTCACTAGGGTGTCTTGATATGCAAGAGTATGTTAGATCCCTAAAGTTATGGCAAAATATAAGGTATTTGAAGTTACCTGACTAGGGTGTCTTGTTCACCTGCATTTATAATAGTAACTCTAGACTGTGAGTGTTCTGGTGATTCTTGATCTTCTAGGTCCCTCAGAGAATATGTTCTCAAACCAAGAGCTGGAATCTTGACAATGAATAGAAGCTACAGAAAACAAAGTAGTGTTACTGGGTAAGCTCCCCTACATAAGAAATATACTGTAAAATGATTCATTTTCACTGGGTTTAAATTTCACTGATTAACCATTTCAGGCATATTCAGTGGGTTTTGAATTCACGGTTTTATCATTTAAATAATGTGTTCTATGCTAAATTTTACATATTCACTGGGTGTTAATTTAACGCATTTTCCAGTCAGTGAAATAAGCAAAATTAAAAACCCAGTGAATAATTAACCCTTTTACACAGTATCCCTCCCACCCCCAAGAGAAATTTATCAAAAGATTTGGACCAGTTTCACAACATATACCCCACCTCTGAGGATGGTTCTTTATCATATTATAGTAATTTTTTTTAAGGTAATTACAAGATACAGAAATAACTTTAAAGCACCAAAAATATGTTCAAATGTGATACAGTATCTGAAATGTTGTAGTAGTTGTGGTTGAATGAAATGGGTCTGGAACTAGCATATAGTGATTATAGATTCATCAGGTAGTGACACTCCTTCACACCTGTTGCAAAGGTTTATTTGTGTAGTTTCTTGTTTGCGGTAACTGACACAAATTAGTGCTGTACGCCTGATTGGATTTTGAGGATCGACAAAACATCCAGGTTCACAAGCGAGCCACCGCAGATGCTTCTGTTTTTATCCCAAAATATGAGATGGTCATATTTGTTCTTCATTATGGGCTATGTTTGTAGTGCAAAATAATACTTTGATTATGTTAAAATATTAATGAAATGGAGATAAAGTTAGGGGGTCTTAACTCAATGGTATAAAAAGTTTACATAAGTTAAAGCGGGGGACTCGTCACCTGCGCATTTCCCAGATGGCCAAAGCATGTCATTGTTTACAAACAAGCGTCTAGCCATGAGCCTTTGCATTGTTAGTGTGTGTTGTTATCGTCGCTTGGGACTCAATTCCTGCGCGTGTGTGGGTGACGATCCACTCGCTTTAAGGAATTCAATTCATAGTTCCATGAATGACAAGTTAAGGGAACCTGTTTAATGAAGGGAAAGTTAAAATCTTAATGGAATGAAGGGAAAGTTAGGAGGCTTAGCTCAATGGTGACATTCAATGAAAGTTACCATCCAGTTAGGGAATCAAAATAGTGAACATGATGTGTATAGCATCATTTACTTTTTGTGTATGCAAATGAAGGGAAAGTTAGGGGGCTTAGCTCAATGGTGACATTCAATGAAAGTTACCATCCAGTTAGGGAATCAAAATAGTGAACATGATGTGTATAGCATCATTTACTTTTTGTGTACGCAAATGAAGGGAAAGTTAGGGGGCTTAGCTCAATGGTGAAATTCAATGAAAGTTACCATCCAGTTAGGGAATCAAAATAGTGAACAAGATATGTATAGCATCATTTACTTTTTGTGTATTCATTTTGTATACGCGAATGAAGGGAAAGTTAGGGGCTTAGCTCAAAGGTGAAATTCAATGAAAGTTACCGTCCAGTTAGGGAATCAAAATAGTGAACAAGATATGTATAGCATCATTTACTTTTTGTGTACTCATTTTGTGTACGCGAATGAAAGGAAAGTTAGGGGGCTTAGCTCAATGGTGAAATTCAATGAAAGTTATCATCCAGTTAGGAATCAAAATAGTGAACAAGATATGTATAGCATCATTTACTTTTTGTGTACTCATTTTGTGTATGCGAATGAAGGGAAAGTTAGGGGGCTTAGCTCAATGGTGAAATTCAATGAAAGTTACCATCCAGTTAGGGAATCAAAATAGTGATATGTATAGCATCATTTATGTTTTGTGTACGCGAATGAAGGGACAGTTAGGGGGCTTAGCTCAAAGGTGAAATTCAATGAAAGTTACCATCCAGTTAGGGAATCAAAATAGTGAACAAGATATGTATAGCATCATTTACTTTTTGTGTATTCATTTTGTGTACGCGATGAAGGGAAAGTTAGGGGGCTTAGCTCAATGGTGAAATTTAATGAAAGTTACCATCCAGTTAGGGAATCAAAATATGTATAGCATTATTTACTTTTTGTGTACTCATTTTGTGTACGCGATGAAGGGAAAGTTAGGGGGCTTAGCTCAATGGTGAAATTCAATGAAAGTTACCATCCAGTTAG